TGTTTTGCTCACCCCCACCATAGCATTGGCTGCTCGTGTTGTTTTTGCTCTCCCCCACCATAGCATTGACTGCTCGTGTTGTTTTTGCTCACCCCCGCCATAGCATTGGCTGCTCGTGTTGTTTTTGCTCACCCCCACCATAGCATTGGCTGCTCGTGTTGTTTTTGCTCACCCCCACCATAGCATTGGCTGCTCGTGTTGTTTTTGCTCACCCCCACCATAGCATTGGCTGCTCGTGTTGTTTTTGCTCACCCCCACCATAGCATTGGCTGCTCGTGTTGTTTTTGCTCACCCCCACCATAGCATTGGCTGCTAATGTTGTTTTTTGGTAATAAAGAAAAGAAATAAATATTCCTATTTAACAGGTGTGATAGTTTATTCAACTTGATTGCAAGCAATAATTTACAACATGATTGTATATACATGTCTGTGTCCTATCAGTACAAGACATACTGCTAATATGAACTAGAAGTGTGTGAGTAGTGTGCTTGTTCCTGTTTAACCAGTGATGCCCATTTGATTATGTTAAACTATAATTGACAATTATAACAATGAACAAATTAAAATATTTTCAAAAATGTTGCTGTATTCTGTTAGCGGTAGGCAAGCAGATAGTTTTTTTTACGAGTGTAAAGACACTGTTCGGTTCGTTTTGCGTTCAATTGACGTACAAATTGAAATATCTATAATTTACATAAAAGTTTATATATAGAATATTTTGTGTAGGAAAACCTATTTCTTTTGGAGAAAATTATCGTTATAAATAGTCCTACAGTTTCGCTCACATCGGAAGTCACATGGGCTCAAAAAAGTATAAAATAGCTCTAAAAACAGACGAGAAATGCATAAATATGTTTAAAGAAAATGAATCTTATGTAAAAAATTATATAGAATCAAATTATCACCACTCAATTTAAAAACAATTAAAATCTTTGAAACAAGGATGTTGATGATGCTTTTATTCATAATCATTGTCCTTGCTTCTGTCATGCACACTATGAAAGTATTTATAACCATGATTTCCACAGAAAATACTAAATTGATCTCTATTTTTCCCTTGCACAAAAATATTGTTAAATTAGCTGAAATTGCTATATATCAACATTTGAGTGAATTATAGGTATTTCAATGGACGTTTCAAACAAATGTGAATCGAACCAAATGCTGTCTTCACACTCGTTATTCTTTTTTACAAATTTTTGTTACATTTTATAGTTAAAATTGAATTATCAGGAAAAGACTGCAATTTTGTTCATGATGGGTATTTTTTTTGTTTAGAGCCTATATTTCATCAAACTAATCATAATTATGCAAATCCAATTCTCTCCTGATCCATCATATGTCATTACAGGGCTCCCTAATTTGTGCATTAATAGACATTTTTAAAGCGTGGTAGTCGTCGCCCTGCGCATGTACGAGATATATGGGTCTCATATAAACAAAGATGGCCACTTTGACTGTTGCGCAGATCAACGAGTCCGAACTGGGACATTTCCAAGCTTTAATTAAGTAATTTTCATTTTATTGGAAGGTATCGAAGGAGTCACCGGTGGTAATTAGTGCAAGTCACGCCCAGGTCAAGCCACATACTTGTGATTTCCATTTGAAGAGCGCATTGGATTGTGGGAAAATCAATGTTTATCAACACAAATGTGTCACATGCCCAGCGCGACGACTACCGTGCTTTAAATTTTACAGTTAATACACTGCTAATCTGAATAGAGGGTAGAAATATTTGAAAAATAAAAAAATGAAAAATATTTGTAGTTCAAATAAATTACACATCTACATTCGTGTTTCTATAATACTGTGATACCAAACTATGATACCTACAGAATCACTACTAAAAATAAAAACTATTTTAATTAATGCTGAATGGCAAGAATAGATTTTGAAGAAAATTTGTACAATTCTTTACAGCTTCAAGATTGGGAGGGTTTCTACATTTATGTTTTGTAAACTTGAAACATTGAATTGTTTGTGTTCTATAGTCTGACTAATTACGCACTATAATTTAGAACACATACGTTTTAATAATGCTTGTTGATAAACATTGAAATATGATTTATAATAAAGTAAAAATATTAAATTTTTATTAATTTGATGAAAAACTGTTAGAAATAGTTTTACATTAAAATGAGGAAATCTACTGCTGGCTAATATTCTGCAATGATTATTACAGTATTTTGTTTAGCTTTCAGAAAATATATAAATGAGTTTGTTTGGTTTTCAAAAATGAAAACATTAAGAGAGATATAGAAATAGGTTAAATATTGAATTAAAAATATAATCAGTTCTTCAGTTCTAACATTTCACAATGGTTGTTCTAACATTCCTATAATACATATGTACAGTAATTTGCATACCAAATAGCAGTGACATTGGTATCACGGTTAAAGAGAGGGTGTCTGGCTGGGATATCACAGTCCATGTACCATATACCTCAGATAGATTCTTCTATTTTAAAAACTATATATGAAGTTTGAAGGTTGAATTAATATTAAATGTTTACGAGTCCATTCATAGGCCACAAATAACGCACCATTGGCAGGAAACGACCTCAGTACACACGGTACAACACCATTGTACAAAGCTCCAATACCTATGAAGACAAACAAACAATAGCATACAAAATTATACATATTTGTTTGGAAATAATTTTTGACAAGTCATACAGTGATATACAACTTGCATGTTTATATTGTAAGATTATTTCAACAAGAATGCATGTATCCTAAACAGTTTACTGTAAAAGACTTAATTTCGCTATTTTCGCTGAAGGAATGATTCAGTGAAAATAAAATCTCTCTAATATACTTTTTTTCCTATATTTTACATACAACTTATCAAATAATAAGATAAATAAGATAAAATAAATTCCATGCAAAACACCCAAAAAGTCTTTTACGTGAGAATTAAATCCAGCTAAAATCAAGTATTTTACAGTAATTATCACTGCTAGAAATGTTTTCAGAGCGTATTGTATTTAAACCAGTGTGTAAGTGATGAGATTAAAATAGACTGGACAACAAATTAACAAGGTATTGGCTATTTTGGAATAACACACCCTAAAATATTTGCTTAAGGTAGAGATGCAGTTTATTTGTGAATTTAAATCAAAAATAGTTTTTTTTGTTTTTTATATAGATTTTTATCTAAAGAACATTCTGTGAAAATTTGACCAATAAATTCTTATTGGAACACCGTTAAAATTGCTGTTTATTTTCTGGTTAAAAATAAAAAAACACTCACACGTGGCAATGTTTATGTCCAATTGCCTAATTTGCATGAGTAATCAAATAATAGGACCTTTGATTGACAATATGCAAATCGAGATTGTACGGGTCATTGTTCATTCAATTCACGCGCACGTGCAATTATTCTCAAATCAGTTATCACTCGCTAGCAAACCAAACATTATATTTCCTCAGCGTTTTTTCCTAATTTTTATCAATACATTATGCGTGGTGTGAAAAGAAAGAGAGATAGAAAGAAGATTCAGATGATTTCTATGTCGGAAGAGGCAAAAGCTACACTGAAGGCATCAGCCCGCCGAACGGAAAACAACATCAATGTGAGCGTCCAAACATGACTTTCCCTGAAGGCGTGAATCCGAGTTTCTGATTGACTGAGAGATTTTATTTTTAAATAATTGTTCTCAAAAAATAAACTGAGCATGTGAAGAATATTTTAACATTGTTTACAGTGATAACTGCTCATTGTCGAAACGAAGCTTACCCATTCACGCTAGTCACAATAAACATCATACTCTTGAATATGCGTCAATGACTACGGTAAAACCATGGTAAAACTTAGACTCTATTTTAGGCATCAGGAATGATTGAAATGTCCGAAAATGACGCCAAAATACACCTTAAAAGTCCTATTTTATTTTTTTCTAAATCCCATCCCGAATTTATGGCAGAATCTGGTCCCTCGAATAAGGGACACGTGAGCTTTGATTCTAACCGGATATATTGCACTGGTCGGGGAGATACAAACTTTCGTGTATCTTCACAGGGAGCCCAGGTACTATAATCAACTATGAACTGTAGTACGCAGTCTCTATGAGTGGGGGGGGGGGGGGAAATCGGCTGGTATCTAGTGTAATAAATAGACAAGGGATGAAGGCTCCAGCCAGCTCACATTTTTTAAACTCGAAAAAACAGACGAAAAAAATAAAATCTAAAAAAAATACCAGGTTGGAGAATATTAGTTGCTCCTTCGAATTTCGCCAATACCTTACCT